TCAAAACACTGACAGAATCCATGGATGGCAGGCTTTTGAGTGTCCTTGCAAAGAGAGGTGGCTATATTGGTCGCTGATTTGTTTTTGTTTTGTTTTTGAATGTCAGAAATGTATATTTGTGAATGTGGAGATGTTATATTGGTTTCACTGGTAAAAATAAATAATTGAAATGGGTATATATTTGTTTTTTGTTAAGTTGCCTAATAATTATGCACAGTAATAGTCACCTGCACACACAGATATCCCCCTAAAATAGCTAAAACTAAAAACAAACTAGAAACTACTTCCAAAAACATTCAGCTTTGATATTAATGAGTTTTTTGGGTTCATTGAGAACATGGTTGTTGTTCAATAATAAAATTATTCCTCAAAAATACAACTTGCCTAATAATTCTGCACTCCCTGTATATAGAGTGCCGAATTTCTTTGTCGGACCTATGACGGTCCAGCTGAACTCTGAATGTAAGTACTAAATATAAATTTCTGTCTAAATGCCAACAGATTCACAACAAGTAGCAACAGATTTTGCAATTTTTGCTGATTTTTCACAGTTCATTGCCAAACTACTGCAAACAGAATTCATGCAATTGCCAACTTGACCTCATTCAATCTCAAATCAAACAATCTCACACTTATGAAAGACTGATTCCGTTTTTTATTGCTATTTTATGTCCATTTTGTTGCAGTCTCTTTAGAGACAGTAGCTGACTGTGAGTGATCGCAGACCTGCTCCCATCTTATAAGCTACAATTAAAAGAGAACAAGATTGCAGGTTTGTAGCATGCAACAGCAGTAATTGCGGCCATGTCTTGGTTAACAACCACTGCTTTCCCTAGTAAGCAATATTGAGGGTCATTTTTCTGCTTTTGGAGTCTTTTTTTTTTATCTGCATGAATGGCACATTAAAGTGCATTCAGGTGACTATTGTTGTGATCTGGTGCTATGCATATTGAATTGAATTGAATTGAATTGAAGCAAACCCTAACTTTAACCACAAGCCATTTAATTTGTTAAAATGATAAAAGAACCAGGACAGACAACTTAGGTTAATCACAGTTACCTTTTTGCATAACAACTGCGGGGGAAAGTCAAAAAAGGACACTTTAAAAAAAAAACTTTTTGCTCATCAGTTAAAATGATTATTTTGCACGGAATGGACCACCAGTAGTTGGCACCAGTTACATTTCACTGTTATTGTCGTTGTTCTTTACATCCATAAAATCAAACTGATGCTAATCCTTCCGTGACATAAAGGCTATTTATTCTGCCGTCTCCCCAAACTGAGCTACATAAGTGCACTGACATAAAAGAAGGCAGATGTTTAGCCACCGTGACATAGCCCGTTGACTTAGGTACCTGCATTTTCAAGGTTCAATGTAGTGTTTAGTTTAGTGTTTTGGCTGTCACAGTGTTGCCAAAAAACAAAAACTATTGTTTTTTGGAGGTTAGCAAGCTCTGTTAGCAAGCTGCATCCGCACAAGTAAACAGACTAATAAAATCACTAGAATTTCATCCACCAAAACTAAATGCACAAACTTTTGTGTAAAGCAAGCCATAATATTTGTCAGAAACGTCCATTAAAATGCTTGGAAAGACACCAAAAATAAATATACTGGTTGCTCCAATAAGCGGATTTCATCTGCTATTCCCAAAATCCAGCATTCAGGTGAAAGAATACTGGAGCATGACAACTTCTTACCCCTTGAGGAGTTGTCATAAAGGTTGGGGACTTATCCATTAAGGCCAAGAACATTTTAGTATCTAGTAAACAAGCGTTTAATGCTATAAAGTTGGGCATCTTATCATGGAGCTAGCCCCAAGTGTCCACTAGAGGAACTAAAGTTTTTGGCACTTCTGGGTTGGCTCTCATTTTGCAGCCCTGGAGGTTGCTGCTTGCCTGACAGTTGTATTTGCTTCAGAAGCATGACAGTAAGATTTTTAAGTATAGTTTTTAAGTATAGTTTCTAAACAATGGTAATGTTAATCATAACAAAGTGCACAATTAACAAAAAACAAAGAAGTAACCTGAGTACTATAACAAGTGATTATTGTATGGCTCCAAAAGTTGATTCTGTTCATCTGTATGTAGAGTTTTGTGGGAGAAACGTTTCGTCACTCATCCAAGTGACTTCTTCAGTCTCAGCTGACTGCAGGTTTCCCCAACCTTATAAAGAGTACATTTGCATAACTGGGTGTCATCAGGACGCTACAACACAGAGCGAACACCATCCCCACTGGCACAGCGGCCAGGGAGGCAGAAGAACAGCACATCAAGAAGGCCCAGAGTAAATGTGGTGACCAAAAGAAAGCTCCAGCCGATCCAGGAGAGAAGGACAACCGCTGCCTAAGCGAAAACCTGTAGTGATCCCGTACGTGTCAGGAGTATCGGAGCATTTGAGATGCATTTTTTCTAAACACCGGGTCTCTGTGGCTTCAAAACACGCTGCGCCAAAAACTGGTCCACCCCAAGGATCGGGTCCCCCGACACAAACAGAGTAACATAGTGTACGCTGTTAAGTGCCAGGAGGATTGCCAGGATTTATACATCGGGGAAACCAAACAACCTCTGGCTAAATGGCTGGCACAACACAGAAGAGCTACCTCGTCAGACCAGGACTCTGCAGTCTGTTTACACCTACAGGCCAGTGGACACTCTTTCAAGGATGAGGATGTGCACATCCTGGACAGGGAGGAACGCTGGTTTGAGCGTGGAGTCAAGGAGGCCATTTACGTGAAAAGGGAAAGACCATCTCTGGATCGAGGAGGGGGCCTAAGGGTACATCTGTCACCATCTTACAATGCTGTGATAGCTGCCATTCCCCAGATCTCTGTGAATGGTACTCATGGCCAGTGATCAGTGGGCTTTGATCAATGGTCATGAGAATTTGCATAATTAAGGTTAAGGATCTGACCTCCCAGCCCATTGTTCCTTCAGTGGGCTGGTTTCATTCATTATGCAAATGTACTGTTTATAAGATTGGGGAAACCTGCAGTCATGATTGAGCATGCATCAAGACATTACCTCCAATGCATCACACAAGAAGTTTAAATGTGTGGATCTAAAACATTATATCATGATATCACGTTGATATTTGTGGTTTCCAGGTGCACGGACCTTTAGGCTTATGCCAAATAAACCGTTTGCATATGTTAGAATGAATTATGAGGTACATCCCGATCTATCAAACAACACTCTGAGTGGAATAAGACCAAAGAAAAGTCACTAAATCACCTTAGTGGAAGGTTCTGTTTTGCTACATTTGGCACTGCTGTGCTGTGTAAAATATGGAGAAATGCTACGCGAGCTAAAAATGGCACCACAGCAAACCTGTCCCAACAGCAGTGTCTCTGTTTGAGATTTGAATATGTCACATCACAGTATTTGCCTCTGTTACACACCAGCTCCCCAAGTTTCACTGCTCTTGACATTTTTTGGCCTAATCTCCCAGTCCAGTTTTAACTTTCTTAAAGTCAGAGGCTTTTGGTTGCACTTCTGCTATCCACAGTCAGAGTGTTTCTGACCTGTAAACCCACTTGAATAAAAAATAAATAAACTACTGATGCTGGGTGTGACCACTCTTGAACTTTCACATCTTGCCAAGATATAAACATTCTGAGATTGGCAATCAGCGCTAGCAGGAGAAGCTGATAATCGCTTTCACTGATAAATAAGTTGTTTATGTCTAACCCTGAAGATGACAGATTTTGTAACCTAGGAATAACAAGTTTTTAATAAGAGAAGCTCGCTCAAAATTAGGTCAACAACAAAAAAAAGTCCTGACCACAACCCGATAAAACGCCTTTGTGATGATGTCTTGATGCATTCTCAATCATCCAGGAAAGTAAATCTCCAGAAAGTTGATTCTGTTCATCTGGACGTAGCGTTTTGTGGGAGAAACATTTCGTCACTCATCCAAGTGACTTCTTCAGTCTCAGCTGACTGCAGGTTTCCCCAATCTTATAAACAGTACATTTGCATAATGACTGATCAAAGCCCCTCCTCGATTCAGAGATGGTTTTTCCCTTTTCACGTAAATGGCCTCCTTGACTCCGCGCTCAAACCAGCGTTCCTCCCTGTCCAGGATGTGCACATCCTCATCCTTGAAAGAGTGTCCACTGGCCTGTAGGTGTAAATAGACTGCAGAGTCCTGGCCTGATGAGGTGGCTCTTCTGTGTTGTGCCATCCATTTAGCCAGAGGTTGTTTGGTTTCCCCGATGTATAAATCCTGGCAATCCTCCTGGCACTTAACAGCGTACACTATGTTACTCTGTTTGTGTCGGGGGACCCGATCCTTGGGGTGGACCAATTTTTGGCGCAGCGTGTTTTGGGGTTTAAAAGCCACAGAGACTTGGTGTTTAGAAAAAACAAGGAAATACTTTTGATAATTAGTGCAGCACCATAGTTGTTCTTCACATTCTGATGATGTTTTTTTTAGTCAACTTTCAAATGTTTTAAACTGCTTTGAAGAAAAAACACACATTGCTCCTTTAATGGATGGCATGCTGTGTAAGTGGGTGCACAGTTATGATTATGAGAACTGGATTCGTTTTGTTTCTGTACTGATGTGTTTTTTTTTCTATACTGTTGATTGACTCAAGTCTAACAGCATACATCAGGTGAAAGTCACACAACCTTGAGTCAAAAAAACACATTCACTGCTTGAAAAGTTAAAGAGTGTGTTTCACAGTAGGACCATGGACAGGACAAAAGCACTACACATCACTGCGCGGGCGCGCACACACGCGCAGTAGTGTAAGGAAACTAACTACATGTACCTCACGTTTATCAAAGTACTTCGATGCAGTGCACACAGGCACCACATGCTGCAGTTACTGCAGACACATGCAAAAGTCATCCTAATATCTTTGCAAAACATTAAAATTAAAATTGCTGTTACTGAACCTCACAAGTAAATTTAAGGCGATTTTGCGGTTCAGGAATAATGATAAATAATTCAACAAAGTGGGATAGGGTCACAACGTTCTCCGGCACTACAAGTCCCGTCAGGAGTACTGCGGGAATACCTATTTTTGAAGGGAAGGGGAGATTATTTTGAATAAACTGATAAACAGCGCGGGCAGAAGAATAGATGACGTTATCTTCACAAATCTGGACGGATAAGGTCGGAGGTAAAGGCTACGGTACCACCGGGACCCCCACCTCTCTCTCCGGCTGCTCCTTTAAAGCCGAGCGGAGTGCTGATCAGAGCTGACGGGGAACAGTTTGGAGCTGGAGCGGATAGGAGAAGTTGCACCGCCCCGGTTCAGGCAGCAGGGCTGGAGCAGATAAAAGCTCAGATAGTGATTGAAAGTGATGGTAAAAGGATTTAGCCCAGGCATTAACCGAGGGAGAGAGAGGGAGAGAGAGAGAGAGGAGGGAGGGAGATATTTTCCATAAAGCCTTTTTTTTCCTCCTCTCTTTCTTTCTGCCCTTGAGCATCCCGGGTAAACCCGAGCTTTGTAAAAGTGGGAAAAGGAAGTGGAGAGGAGGGGAAGAAGGGCGGGCACAAGCCTTTTTTTCACAAACTCAATATTTTATACTTTTGATACTCCTTGACGCTGGATTTCAGTCCTGTTTTCGCAGCCGTTTCCAGATCTAGGACACCGATCTACCGTGCGCAGCCATCTACGCTGTGATCAAAAAGTATCCGTCGGACGGCAAAAAAAGGGGAAAAAAGAAATAAAACAGAAAAAGAAACCAAACAAACAGCGAGCCGGCTGATAACGGGAGTACAGTGAGGACCGCGGCGGGGGACGAGTACACTGGATGGTAAAGGGGATTTTTTTTTTTTTTGGCCAAACAGGGGGGGTGGACGTGCACGCACTCCGAGCAAAGTGCTGACCTGCCCGACAGATGCATGTCAGAAGTAAGTGTTTTATCTGATTAAAGCATTTCACAGCGGGATGCGTTTGTTGCGAAAGCTCTGCGAAGTCAGGCAAGCACCGGAGAGCTGCTGATGAGTTGTAGCCTCCACAATATCCGGAGCACTTCAGGATGTTCGGGGGGACTGGCAGCATAATTCATTCTGCTTTAGACAAACGCGCTGATGCATTCATTCTTGAGCGTGCATTATAGTCCGCACACATACATATATATGTAAAATTGGAGTGATGCTCCACGGAAGGATGCACTACTGTAGAAACTGACACACCCCTGCGAGACTGCCAGTGCCGGGCCGGGAAACAGCTTTGGCGACTTCACTTGACAAGTGAAGTAAGTCACCGGGTGTGCATGGGATAGGCTGTTTAAGCACCAGACTTCCTTTGGTGTGGGATGACGGGCGGATTATAATAAGTGAGTCCACGCTGCAAAAAGGGGGGGGAAATCATCATGAGTAGCTATTCATTTACTCGGCCTAAAATGGAAACATAGTTAATACAAATAATATTAGTTTATTTATTTATATTAGCGAATAACTCAATTAGCAGTTTGTTTCTCCGGAACTTTATTATCACACCAGTTACTGATGTGCTGAAGCAAAGCTGAATTTTGGATAGGCCCGAGGTTGATGAAGTATAAATGAAATGACACTACGCTGAAGAACGTTCTTGAACTAGACTGTGGATAAGTCACTCTTTATTTTTTGCACCATTTGCCGGGTCATAAAGTAAACAGATTATATTGGGCTATTAAATACCTCTTGCCGACGGATATTTCTTGCAGTGCAGTTATTACCATCTGTATAGTCCACTCTCTGTCGCCGGTATTGGAGCAAAAACAACTCTTACACACATACAAAAAAACACACACGCACAGGCGGCACCCGGCAGCAGCACGTGTTTTTACGCATAAGGTTATCCACGCGGTGTGGCGGTTTTTTTCTGTTCTTTCTTTTATTTTAACACTCATATATTCGTGCTGTATGTAAAACAAACTCCTTGTAACTAACTGTTCGTGGCATATATTCACTTTAAATGTTTTCATAGTTTGGGGGCAGTTGTGATGTTTTCCAGAGTAAATCAGTGGGATTTGTTGCATTTTTAATCTGACACCGCGAATTAAAAGCTCAACGTTACTATAAAAATGACATTTCGAAGACGGGCACTTAAGTTTTATCGAGCATAGTCCTGTCAAATGCCACGTGTATATATTTATTTGCAGTGAAATTAAGAATGCGAAAAATTGCGGACACAGGTATTAACCTATTATTTATTCCCCCCATTTCACCTCCAGGACAATCGGAAGAGCTCAACAAATCTGAAATGTCCAATGGATACATCTGGAGACGCATCAACTTCTCCTCCATCCTCTCCAACTAGCTCCGCCGTTTCCCTGAAGGACACCGCTCTGTGAGACATGGATCCGCGCAAACATCTCCCACCCAACTCCCTGCAACACTATGGTTAGAGTGCATGCCGAGACTCCTCTCCGTAACATTATCCACCCCCACGCCCACTGCCCATCTTCCTCAGGAAATCAGCCATCAAAACAGTGAAGTGTCCTGCTTTCCTTTCCTCTTTGGGGCTGCCAATAACTGACGAGAAACGCTGAGAGAAAGCTGCCGATTCAGTGTTTCGTTTTGGGGAATTAATAAACCTGGAGGCAGGTAATGTCAATTTACCCTGACCTCTCCATTCCAAACACAGCAGTATGGTGGTAGGGATGTGCACTCGTTCCCTATGATTATCGCTCCATGCTCGTAACCTGTCCTCTGAGCTCTGTGGCCCCCTCACCCTGTGTCGGACCCTTCTCCAAATACCCCCCCAGCCTGCCATGCTCCTTCAGGCTGTGTTGCTGCTGCTGCTGCGCTGCTTGGCCTCCACTCTGGGCCAGTACGAACTGTGCAAATCCCTGGTGAGCACGGACGAGGGCTCGGTGTGGGAGCATTACGCCTGCCAGCCAAAACCTAGGTCCATGAAAGACTTTATGCGGATCAAGGTGGATCCGCCTGGGATCACATGTGGAAGGCCACCGGAGAGGTTCTGCACTCTGGTGAGTCCATGTCAGGGCTTGTATCATATATGTTTCACTTTTATTAGTGACTTTAAAATGTAGGATATTGTAATAATAATGTTTCAAAGTGGTAAAAAAAATAGTGACCAGGAACACATGGGCCACATGCACAGTAGCCTTGGTCTTGAATGAAATGCACCTAAAAGTGTTGAAATAAAAGTTGAAACTATTAGTTTGGAAATCACCAGCTCACAGGGCTGAAGCGTAAAAGAGTAATGACAGGCATTTCTAACTAAGGTCAGAGCAGGATTCACACTGTAAAAGCCCCAGGGACCCGAAAGGAACGACACAAGTGCAATGACTGGGGACTGACCTAAAGGTGTTGTTTACATTAGTATGGACTTGCCAGCCCGGTGTCCGGTTTAATTTAGGGCTTCTAGAGGGGCTCGCATTTCCTGTGGTAAAATGCATACACTGGGACCTTTTAGTTCCAAGGACACTAAAGGGTGAGCTGCAGGAAAACTCGTTAAAATGTCTGCTACAGCAGTATTTAACACACTTTAGCCTGGAGGCTACTCCCAATTAATGTAGGTGTAATAATTAGAAATAAGGGTTATAAAATCGTACGAATGAAATTAAGCTTCCTCCCGCCTCTTCCGTGGAAAGTTTTATATCTGAGGTTTGACTCATGATTTGACTCACAGCACGTGTATGTATGTGTGTGTGTGTGTGTGTGTGTGTGTGTGTGTGTGTGTGTGTGTGTGTATTGAGTGCGTGTGTGAGACAAGTTCACCCTCTTGATGATCAGCCCTGCTGTCGCTGAGTGTCCACTCACTGGCAGGGCCAGTACCGGGGGTGCCAGACCCGTCTCAACAGCCCTGAGTCAATCTCACAACAAGTGTCTCCGCAGAGCGTTGGTCGGCCGACAACACATTATAAAATCATGTCATGCTGTTAATTAGGTGTTTATATTCTGAGTGACTGGAGACTTGTTAGTTGTTAAGACGATTTTGCAAACAGCCCTCCACTCTTGTCTGCCTCCCTTCCTCCCACATAGGCTGGCATTTGGGGGGTGGAGGGGTCATTTGACAGGAGCAGCAGAGGATACTGTGGTTTTCGGATACCTAATGGTTAATGATTTGTTTAACAGCGGAAACCACTGTTGTCTTGAGAGAAGCCTCTCATGTGACTTATCCTGAGAGGGGAGATGGACATAGCTAGTGGAAAGAGTGTGGCGGGGGGGGAAAGAGAGAAGTCAGGAGAACTGCTCGCTGCCATAACGTATTGACGTCTGCCCCCTAATGGCCTCAGCCTGGAAACTTCTATAACTATGTTTCTGAGTGAGCAATGATGAAATATTGATGGACGCCTTAATGGGCTTCCTTACAAGGACTGGCCAGCGTCTCTCATTCTCGGGGATCCAGAGTGGTGTTGCTTGGTAGATGAGACAGAAAGAGAAAGAGGAATGGAGGGCGGGACAGGAAGGAGTCTGGCCTTAGTCAGCAGTTTCACATCGGATTGGGTCTTTAGAGCAGAAAGTTCTTGTTCTTCTCAGGTCGTCGGTGGTTGTGGGGGGATTTAGAAGCAGCGCTCCCCTCTAAGTGCATTAGATGGGGATTTAGTGAGTGGGGAAGCTGTCAGATAAAAGTTTACTTAAGAAGCAAGGGATGTCAGAACAGCGGGTTTAATTCTGTACCGTGACTATATTCGTGTCATCACTTTAAGTCCTCATTCTGATTTGTAATGACCCATGAAATCTGTTCATTTTCGCTACAGAATCACTGAGCACTGAGGTCAGGATGCGATCGTGGTTAGGGTTAGGCTTACAGGGCTTTAGTTAAGGGGTTAGGGTCTGGCGTGATGGTGTTTCCACATCACAAAACAATGACATCACAACAATGTGATTGGTCGCTTGCAATGCTGAACCTTAATTTTAATAATCCAGGAACAGCACCAACACGGGGATATCATATTGTGCTTCTTTCTGCTGCACATGCCAAACAGGTATTGGTTGAGTGATATTAGGATACAGATCATTTATTTTCAAGCAAGTGCTATATTTTTCTTCCCCCTCTTCCTCTTCCTCTTTCTCCCCTCCCATCTTTCCAGATTTGGCAGCTTTACAGAAAAGCCAGTTTCTTATCTAATTGGTGTACATTTACATTCACTCATTCAGCAGTCCCACAAGTCAAGAGAAAGTCAGGGCACTCTGGAAAAAAAAGAAAAAGCATCACCCAAAGCGCAGAGCTGCTCACTCTTAATAAGACTACAGACATACTGCGGAAGATGTAAAATAATTTTCCCCCCCTCCACTTCTCTCACTCTACGACTGCTATGTAGCAGTCGTAGTAAAAGAACAAAAACTGGGGGAGAATTTACTTTTGGGGTTTTGATGTGGAGGCATGCTGTAGCTCCGTCCACCCCCTCCCGCTCACATTGGTTTACAGTAGTTTTTTTTTGCTCCCTCCATCTCCACAGGGATGCATTTTTTCTACTCTATTTATCTCTCTTGTTCCCTGGGAATGCAGCATCCTTTCTCCTTCGCCAAACAGGCCAGCATGTTGGCTTCTTTCAACATGACGGGCTTCCAAGCACTTTGACAAAGATGCTACTGTCACTAGTGCTGTGTTAGGAGCTTCAGTAGTCTCTTTGTAGCTTCTCTGTACGGCAGCTGCTATGGAGTTGTAGCTTGCAGTCGAGGGGCGATGGTCTAAGGAGATTTGAGGCAGCACGGTGTACTGGTGGATAGGTAATAATGAGGAAGAAGTAATAATGATCCAAGCTTAGCTAAGCAGATAGATGAAATCAACACTAAATGCACACGGTGTTGATATATATTAAAAAACAATGTAGCATTCAAAGAGGTCTCACCGTACTGTTGTTTGTTATTTTGTCTCTCGGTTTTGAACCAAAACCTTCAATCAACGCTCTCCCTCGGGGCGGAGAACATAGAGCAGCTGAATGCAAATGGGTAGCGTGCATGTGTACTGGAATGTACAGTGAACCAGCAGGGCTGCATGAAACGTGCACGAGTTGGCCAACAGTGCACACTAGTATGTCTAAGAAAGACACACACAAAAAACATGCGCGCACAGACGCACACACACCTTCCTGTTTCAAAACACATTTGCCCATTTTAGAAGGTAGAAATCTGCCAGCTCTAAAAATAGACATGATAAGAGAGAGAAGCCGCGCAGCAGCGGAAAGGGAGCATGCAGGAAGGGGAGGAAGATGGCAGCTGGTAGCGTGGATCAGTGCATCCCAGACTGGGCCTATGGCCATACTTCATACTCCCTGCCCAGTGTAGCCATGCCAGGCCCGGCTGGCTTGCCCTGCCCAGCAGCGGGACTTCAAGGCTGCGCAAAAGGGCCACCCACATCCAGCAGTGGGCCATCGTCAGTCAGCCTCCCTGGGGTGAAAGATAGCTCAGGTGGCCACTGTCCTAATAATACACCCATGGAGGTGAATTTGGGCACAGCATGAGCAGCTTTGACAGCGCAGGGGTATAATTATCGAAGGGAAAAGAGAGAGAGAAGGGAGCGGACAGCTAAAGAGAATGACAGAGTGTGACTATACAAACAAGGCAGGAGGGGGAGGGTGCGGTGATGTAATGGCATGGCTTGCTTCCCCCATTAGGACACAGTTGAAAGTGATCAGAGAGTGTTTAGATGTGTTGGCAGAACGGGAGGATAGTTATAAGTGAGATTTATCCCTGACTGAGGTGAAACTAAGAGGGATTGGCTGCAGGGCTTAGACAGTCTGAGGTGAACTTAGCAAAACACCTTGTTTAACCTATCAGGAAGTGTGGAGAGGAGTAATGCTTAGTACTGAGGGATGTGTTGAGTGGGGATACTACTACGAATGCAAGAAGCTTTCATGTATCCGTCCAGTGTACAAGAGATTGAGTGGCAACAGTGTAAGGAGGATCCTTTAAAAGTCTGGGTTAGAAAATTCAAACGAGGGCAAGGATGCAGCACCCTGCAGCTGTCCAAACGCTTCAGTGTATCAGAATCTATCAGAACAGACAGAGAAAATACAGATATCCCCTGGAACAGCCTATTGACAAGTACTTGGTATGATTTCCTTTGATTTGAAGAGTTTTTGGCCCCCCGGCTCTCACTACAATCCACATGTTCTTACACTAAGGCAAAGCACCCCCCCCCCCAAAAAAAACCCAAATAGTTTGATGTCAACTTTCTAAAAGCCTTTAAAATCAAAAGCAACCCTCCACTCTCCTGCATCGCTTTCCCGCACTTGCACACAAGCATACTTCCTGTGCTAACTTTCAGGATGATTTGAGGTGCATATAAGAAGTTTTCAGATTAAGGTTTTCAGTGAAGCTGTGAACACGGATCATCTTGGTTTACCAAAAAATCTATAAGGGAGAAGTAGTGACTAAAGTGTTTTCAAAAGCAAAGATTGAAAGTATGAGGACGCCCAGGCTTACAAATACCAGAGTTTGACATTTATTTCTCTTAGTGCAGCTCCTCAGTTCAAAAAGTGTGCAGAAGAAAAAGATGCACAGTTCAGCTCAAAAAGATAAAAAAAAAAAACAGACATTTTTTAAATCTGGCTGATGTCCCCTTCAAGGCAGTCTTCTTGGGTAGCAGTTCACTGTTTTCTATTTTTAGATCACTCCAGTGTGTCAAAAAGGTTGTCTTTAAAGTCACAGGACATAGGACTGGTGGTGAGCAAACTTTATGTTACTGCTGCCTAAAAGGTTTGATGGAAGGATGGCACATGCAGTTCAGGTCGCTTCTGCCTAATGTTCTCTGTCAGATGCCTACATTAGTCTTGACAGTCTGACTCTCGGGGTTGACTTCACAAAGAACGACCCATGAATTTTTAAAAAAACATAACATCAACAACAGCAACGAGTTCCAGGAAGTGATTTAAATATAGCAACAAGGAAGCAGTGCAGATGTGCACAAGAAGAAGGAGGGATAAGCCAACTTTAAATTAGGTGTAAAAGTCAGTTTAAAGGACTTAAAGGTACAGTTTGTAAAATTCGACCACCAGTTGTCAGTAGATTTCAATTC